ATGGCCAATGATCAGCCCAATGCAAATCAGGGTTACTGTGAGTATCCATGTAGGCTCAATGTGAGTGCTATGACAGTGAGTGAAGTGCCCAGCTATGCAGCTGTCCAGTCCATGAGGGGAGTACGTGTCCCTGAGCACACGGTGTCCTTGCCACATTACAACATCCTTGCTGCAGCATTATAATGAGAGTTGTCATTGTGCAGCCCAAGATGTAGCAGCAAAGTGCCAAAGCTTCCTGTAAGTGGTTCAGAGATGTGCCATGAAGGTTCTTAGAGGTTGGCACATATCAAGTGCCAGTGTCCATGGACATGGGGCATTGTATTGTAACTCTTTAAACCCTGGTATCTTTCTGGTGACTCTACACTCTCCCCAAGATTTGAACTCTCAACTTCTAGGTTGCTCATCCAGACCCACATACATGACACGAGTGCAGGCTGTTTGCCTGGGCCGAGTGGAATAATGTCAATGTCACACAAGTGGGAGATACGAGTTGAGTGCAGGTGTCTCTGAGGTTGAGACTTACCTGGACCTGGTTCCCCATTAATTCGATAACCAGCCTTCTCAAATCCTGCAACTATGTTCCCTTGTAGCACAATATTAGTGCCTTGAGCTACCTTTAAAATAAATAAAATCCAATTATAAACTTCTCAGCATCTTGCAAATAATGGGAAGTGTTTTTTTTTGCCTGAACAGTGTAGAATGTAAATGTAGAATTTAAAACAAAGACACAGGCCATTCTACCCAATCAATGTCAACCCCAAACATTTATTACATTATATACCCACTTGTCCCAATGTCTGCACCTGAGGACAAGATTTCCGTGGAACTGGGGAAACTCTGCAAACCTTTAAAAATGGTGGGTGACGCTACCACTTCCGAACGATAAATCCCATTCCCATTTTGACAGATCCTGTGTACTTTAGTAGGGGAGAGTGAGCAAGGTGTGACTCACCTGAGGAAACCAAACCCAGCAGGACACTTTGAACTCAGTTCAAATAGACCTCATTTTTGCTGGAGCAGAAGTTTTCATCTGAACACAATGTGGAAGTTACTAAGTTTCAGTGCAGCGGTAATAGTCTTGAAGGGTGGCACGGTGGTTAGCACTGCTGCCTCACAGTGCCAGGGACCTGGTTCAATTCCACCCTCGGGCGACTATCTGTGTGGAGTTTGCACATTCTCCCCGTGTCTGCGTGGGTTTCCTCCGGGTGCTCCGGTTTCCTCCCACAGTCCAAAGATGTGCAGGCTAGGTGGATTGGCCATGCTAAATTGCCCGTACTGTTCAGGGATGTGTAGATTAGGTGGGTTATAGGGGGATGGGTCTGGGTGGGATGCTCTGAGGTTTAGTGTGGATTTGTTGGGCCGAAGGGCCTGTTTCCACACTGTAGGGATTCTATGATCATGATTCTATGAAGGGTGGACAAGCACTACAGAACTATCACAAAGTGAAGAGATTTGTATCTCCACCCCCTTAAATATAAAATAGAAATCAGGATTCTCACTGTGTCAGTGAGAGTTGAAATATCTCTGTTCTAGCTGCTCATTGACATTTCCTCAACGGTTATTGTTATATCCTTATAAATGTTTAACTGCTTTCCATAAACTTTAAATGTGCCAGCAGGGAGGTCCAAGTTCATGGTATGATTGACATCTCAAAAAATTTACCAAAGGATTATCTGTTTTTGATGTGGGGTTATGAATAAGAGTTTGTTTTTATAAAGAATTAAGCACTTGATGCTTAATTTTGAATGGGATTTCATAAATGAGACTAAATGTTTTAACACAACGAAGACTGGAATAGATATTCACACCTTTGTTTAATTTAATCTGGTGGATTTTTGGTGAATATTGGATGAGTTGGAATAGAGGTTGTAAGGAGTCATGGGGTTATGTGGGGAATAGGGGCTGGTTTTAAGATGGCATGGGGAGAGGGTGAGGGCTAGAGGGCCTAACGTTGGAACCTCATCTCAGTTACTTCCAAAGAACCAAGACAGTCTACTTAACAAAGCTGCTTCAGCATTCGGTAGCTTCTGAGGCCACTTCTGCTCTGTGTCTGAGGACAATGGGACCACCCCATTTTTCCTGAACAATAATAGTTCAATTCAAAGGAGTGTCTCCTGAGGCTGGAGTGGTGTTTTGGGAAACCTGTCAACTCATACTTCTTGCCTCGGGAATGAAATTCTGAGCCTGAGTCTCAGCTGTGGTTCTGTGAGTAGCACTCTCGCCTCGAGTCACAAGGTTCTGGATTTAGGTTCCACTCCAGGGCTTGTGTACAAAACTCAAAACTGATACTGTATCAAGGGAGTGCTGCCCTCTTAAATGTGCTGTCATTCAGATGAGACTTTAAACCAATGGTCTACCAGCCTGCTCAGATGGCTGTGGAAGATCGCATTACCCTACTCTGAAGAAGACAAGAGAATCTCTCCCTAGCATGCTGGACAATATGTATTCCTCAATCAGTCTTCCAAAATATATAATCTGCCTATTCTCACATTGCTGTTTGTGGGAGCTCGCTGTGCATAGATTGGTGTTAGGTTTTCAACAGTACAATAGTGACTACACGTCCAAAAGTACTTAATTGGTTGTAAGGGCCTTTGAGGCATTTGTTGGTCATGAAAAAGTGCTATATAAAAATGCAAGTCTTTCCTTCTTGATGCTTCTTAAAAGTTCTAAAAATTCAATTGAACTATGATGGTAGGATAGAAGGCTGTTGGGTCAGGATTGGAGTGTACAGGTCATGATGACTGCGCAGAGTCTGGGTCAGAGTGTAGAGCAGAAGGTTAACATCCTTGACTGATGTTTTGAAAATGTTGAACTGGAGAAGCTCTCATTGCTGCCCAGACTTAACGCATCACTGTCATACATTGTTATGAAGAGGATAAATGAACAGGATGGGAAGGACAACATTCCCCCTTGGGTTTCGTAGACTTGCCTTTTGTGGATACCATGGTGGATAATCATTCTATTTACCCACAAGCCTGTTTGAATCTGCTTTGAGGTATGTTCTCCATCAGAGTAATTACACCTTGGGATCATTATCCAGTTGGAATTTGCTGATATGGGAGATGAGGTGGGTGAATTGGGAGAAGAGGAAAATGCAGATAAATCAGCAATATCCCAACTGAGGTGTAAATATCAAACTAGTCAGAACAAGAAAGGCAGAAAAAATTGTATGAAAGGTAGCAGCAGGATCACATTAACCACATGAGATGCTGCAAGAGATACTTTTGTAATGTTGAGGATAAAATACCAAATTAAATTGTTAAAACATCATGAAGGCTGTTATGTTGGCAGTCCATCAATTTTGTGAGAAAGAACCTCATTTAGATATATATTCTCTGCATTCAAGTGATATGATTCACATTAAAGAGGAAGGTTTGTTTTTAAGGACACCTGGAGACTATTTTGGGCATGTGACACTTGGTAAAGAGGAAGATATGAGAACAGGTTCTGACCATCATGTAGCATTGTGGCCAGTCAGAAAGTCCAGGTGACAACCACTGGTCAGTTGGAAACTTGATTGTGTGATTCCATTTATAACAGTTACTTTGTCATTGATATCTGAGCAGTGGTCATGCATTTGAATAACACACTTGGCCTGAGGCACAAAGAATCAGTTAATTGAGTGTGACAGATAGTAGGAACTGCAGATGCTGGAGAATCCGAGACAACAAGGTGCAGAGCTGGATGAACACAGCAGCTAAGCAGCATCATAGGAGCAGAAAGGCTGACGTTTCGGGCCTAGACCCTTCATCAGAAATGGGGGAGGGGAAGGGGGTTCTGAAATAAATAGGGAGAGAGGGGGAGGCGGATAGAAGATGGATAGAAGAGAGGATAGGTGGAGAGGAAACAAACAGGTCGAAGAGGCGGGGATGGAGCCAGTAAAGGTGAGTGTAGGTGGGGAGTTAGGGACGGGATAGGTCAGTCCAGGGAGGACGGACAGGTCAAGGGGGCGGGATGAGGTTAGTAGGTAAGAGATGGGGGTGGGGCTTGAGGTGGGAGGAGGGGATAGGTGGGAGGAAGAACAGGTTAGGGAGGTGGGGACGAGCTGGACTGGTTTTGGGATGCGGTAGGGGGAGGGGAGATTTTGAAGCTTGTGAAATCCACATTGATACCATTGGGCTGCAGGGTTCCCAAGCGGAATATGAGTTGCTGTTCCTGCAAACTTTGGGTGTCATCGTTGTGGCACTGCAGGAGGCCCAGGATGGACATGTCGTCTGAGGAATGGGAGGGGGAGTTGAAATGGTTTGCGACTGGAAGGTGCAGTTGTTTATTGCGAACCGAGCGTAGGTGTTCTGCAAAGCGGTCCCCGAGCCTCCGCTTGGTTTCCCCGATGTAGAGGAGGCCACAACGGGTACAGCGGATGCAGTATACCACATTGGCAGATGTGCCGGGTTGCAGGGAAAAGTGACGGGTGTGGTGGGGCTGGAGGGGATTGTGGAGTGGACAAGGGAGTCACGGAGAGGGTGGTCCCTCCGGAAAGCAGATAAGGGTGGGGAGGGAAAGATGTCTTTGGTGGTGGGGTCGGATTGCAGATGGCGGAAGTGTCGGAGGATGATGTGTTGGATCCAGGAGGTTGGTGGGGTGGTACGTGAGGACGAGGGGGATTCTTTTTTGGTTCTCATTGCGTGGACGGGGTGTGAGGGATGAGGTGCGGGAGATGTGGGAGACACGGTTGAGGGCGTTCTCAACCACTGAGGGGGGGAAGTTACGGTCCTTGAAAAACAAGGACAACTGAGATGTACGGGAGTGGAATGCCTCATCCTGGGAGCAGATGCGGCAGAGGCGAAGGAATTGGGAATAGGGGATGGCATTTTTGCAAGGAAGGTGGGTGGGAGGAGGTATATTCTAGGTAGCTGTGGGAGTCGGTGGGTTTGAAATGGATATCGGTTTCTAGGTGGTTGCCCGATATGGAGACAGAGAGGTCCAGGAAGGAGAGAGAGGTATTAGAGATGGTCCAGGTAAACTTAAGGTTGGGGTGGAAGGTGTTGGTGAAGTGGATGAACTGTTCGAGCTCCTCGTGGGAGCACGAGGTGACGCCGATACAGTCATCAATGTAACGGAGGAAGAGGTGGGGCTTAGGGCCAGTGTCGGTACAGAAGAGGGATTGTTCCACGTAACCTACAAAGAGGCAGGCATAGCTTGGGCCCATGCGGGTACCCATGGCCACCCACTTTGTCTGTAGGAAGTGGGAGGAATTGAAAGAGAAGTTGTTGAGGGTGAAGACGAGTTCGGCTAAGCGGATGAGGGTGTCAGTGGAGGGGGACTGGTCGGGCCTGCGGGACAGGAAGAAGCGGAGGGCCTTTAGGCCGTCGGTATGGGGAATGCAGGTGTAGAGGGACTGGACGTCCATGGTAAAGATGAGGTGTTGGGGACTGGGGAATTGGAAGTTCTGGAGGATGTGGAGGGCGTGGGTGGTGTCACGGACATAGGTAGGGAGTTCCTGGACCAAGGGGGAGAAAATGGAGTCCAGATAGTTGGAGATAAGTTCGGTGGCGCAGGAGCAGGCAGAGACAATGTGTCGACCAGGGCATTCAGGTTTGTGGATTTTGGGAAGGAGATAGAAGCGGGCGGTGCGAGGTTGGGGAACGATGAGGTTGGAGGCCGTGGGTGGGAAGTCACCTGAGGTGATGAGGTTGTGGATGGTTTGGGAGATGATGGTTTGGTGCTCGGGGATGGAGTCATGATCAAGGGGGCGGTAGGAGGTGGTGTCGGAGAGTTGGCGTCTGGCCTCGGCGATGTGGAGGTCAGGGCGCCATACTACAACTGCGCCTCCCTTGTCCGCGGGTTTTATGGTGAGGTTGGGATTGGAGCGGAGGGAGCGGAAGGCTGCATGTTCTGCGGGGGAGAGGTTGGAGTTAATTGAGTGTGATGTATGTTTCTTAGAGCACCCATCCTACAGCCTACTTGGTTTTCATGCGCTGGCATTGTGACAGCATTCCAGTGGAAAGGACAACGACAGGTCATGACTCACTTTGGGACAAAATAAAATTGAATTCTCCACTGTTGAAAGAACAATTTGGTTAAATATACTTCACCCTCTTTTATTAAATGCAATGGTTTTGACCTCAATTGCTGCAGTCCAAGTATCGGAAACTGAAGACCACAAAGAGAGAGCCACCAGATTCCTTCTTGCCCGATTCCTGTTGCCCATTAATATGATACCTAGGACAGGTGAGAACATTCAATTGATGTCCAGCTGCAAACCATACATTTCATACATAAACAGACACAAATTAGGAGCAGTTGTAGGTCACTCATGCTCTGCCATTTGATAAGATCATGACTGATCTGATCATGGTCTGCTTTCTGGTCTTCTACCCATTTGTTTGTAACTTTGGACTTACTTGTGCATCAAGATACTATCTAATTCAGCCTCAAAAATATTTAATGACTCTGTCTCCACTGCTTTCTGGGGAAGAGGATTCCACAGACTAACAACCCTCTGTGAGAAATGATTTCCCCTCATCTCCATCTTAAATGGGTGATCCCTGATTTTCAAACTGTGTCCCCTAGTTTTAGTCTCTTCCGTAAGAGGAAAGATCCTCTCAGCATCACCCTGTCAAATCCCTTCAGGAACTGATATTTGTCAATAATGATCACCTCTCATTCTTCTAACATGCAGGCCTTTCCTCATAAGGTGACCCCTTTACCAAAGGAATCAGTTGGGTGCACATTCTCTGAACCGTTTCTAATGTAATTATATCTTCTTTAAAGTAAGATCAGAATTGTACACATTACTCAAGATGTGGTCTCAACAATGTCCTGTACAAATGTGGCAAAGCTTATTGGCTTTTATACATTTTTCCCTTGTAATAAATTGCATCGTTACATTTGTCTTTGCTACACCAGCAGACTAATTGTGATTCACATACAATATCTCCCCAGTCTCTCCAGAATTCTGCAAACTGTCACCACTTAAGTCATGTTATTTTTCTATTCTTCCTGCCAAAGTAGACAAGTTCACATTTTTCCACAATACGTTCCATCTGTCAAATTATTGCTCACTCAGTTAAACTATCTGTATCTCTTTGCAGACTCCCGATTTCCCTGATGCTGTACTCAATAAGAGAACAAATAACATTCATCAACATTCTGAACTGAAATGCTTTACAGTAGGTCTTGACTTTATTCAATGTTGTAACGTTGGGTGAAAACCATTTTGCATCGTGGAGAACCAGATAACTTTCAAGTGCCTGTCTTACTCTTCACACATAATTCAACATCAATTCAGGGACCTAGTTGTAGAGGAGGCCGTTGTGAAACAGACAGGTAGGCTAGAGGAGGTTGATGTTAGTAAAGAAGTTGTGCTAGGAATTCTGAGGAAGTTGAAGATAGATAAGTCCCCCGGGCCTGATGGGATTTATCCAAGGATTCTATGGGAAGCGAGGGACGAGATCGCAGGGCCTTTGGCGATGATCTTTTCATCCTCACTGTCCATGGGTATAGTGCCGGAAGATTGGAAAGAGGCAAACGTCATTCCCTTGTTCAAAAAAGGGAACAGGGATAACCCCGGAAATTACAGACCAGTTAGTCTTACATCAGTGGTGGGCAAATTATTGGAAAGGCCTCTGAGAGACAGGATTTATGATCACTTGGAAAGGCAAAGGCACAGTTTGATTTGTGATAGTCAGCATGGATTTCTGAGGGATAGATCATGCCTCACAAACCTTATTGAATTCTTTGAAGAGGTGACCAAACACGTGGATGAAGATAGAGCAGTGGATGTGGTATACATGGATTTACATAAGGCGTTTGATAAGGTTCCCCATGGTAGGCTCATACAGAAAGTAAGGAGGCGTGGGACAGGGGGTAATGTGGCAGATTGGATTCAGAATTGGCTGACCCTTAGAAAACAAAGGGTGGTAGTGGACGGAAAATATTCAACATGGTGCTCAGTTACGAATGGTGTACCACAAGGATCTGTTCTGGGACCTCTTCTATTTGTGATTTTTGTAAATGATTTGGATGAAGGAGTGGAAGGGTGGATTAGCAAGTTCGCAGATGATACAAAGGTGGGTCAAGTTGTGGACAGTGCGGAGGGCTGTTCTAGGTTACAAAGAGACATTGATAGAATGCAGAGCTGGGCTGAGAAGTGGCAGATGGAGTTTAACCCTGAAAAGTGTGAGGTGATTCATTTTGGAAGGACAAACTTGTAAGCAGAATATAGGGTTAATGGAAAGATTCTTGGCAGTGTGGAGGAGCAGAGGGATCTTGGGGTTCATGTTCACAGTTCCCTGAGAGCTGCCACCCAGGTGGGTAGAGTTGTTAAGAAGGTGTATGGTGTGTTAGCTTTCATTAATAGAGGGATTGAGTTCAAGAGCCGTGAAGTTATGCTCCAGCTATACAAAAGCCTGGTTCAGCCACATCTGGAGTATTGTGTCCAGTTCTGGTCATCTCATTACAGGAAAGATGTGGAAGTGTTAGAAAAGGTGCAGAGGAGATTCACCAGGATGTTGCCTGGAATGGAGGGAAGGTCTTACGAGGAAAGGTTGAGAGAGCTAGGGATTTTCTCTTTAGAACGACGAAGGATGAGCGGTGACTTGATAGAGGTGTACAAAATGATCAGAGATATAGATAGACAGCCAGAGACTTTTTCCTAGGGTGGAGGTAGCTTCTATGATGGGCCATAGTTTTAAAGTGAAAGGAAGTAGATAAAGGGGAGACGTCCGAGGTAGGTTCTTTACTCAGAAAGTGGTAGGGGCGTGGAATGCATTGCCGGAGAGGGTAGTGGAGTCAGCCTCCTTAGGGGCATTTAAGCGGCTATTAGATAGGCATATGGATGATAGTATAAGGTAGGGGTGGAGGTTAGATAGACCTTAGGTTTAAGGTAAAAGTTCGGCACAACATCGTGGGCCGAAGGGCCTGTACTGTGCTGTACTGTTCTATGTTCTATGTTAACATCCTTTATATTTATTAACATGCTGAGATATGATTACCTCCATTAGAAGTTTTGCATATGACATTATCATTGATATCAAGGCCATTTGTTTCAAGGACACCTATTGCAGGAGCAAATCCATGATGAAAAGAACACCCACGAATGTAAGAATCATTTTCTACAATCTGGAAAGAGATAGTTGGAATGAATCACCGTCAATCAATTAGGTCCTGATCCATTTCTTATGATATCAAAGAGGATCAATATGACTTTGGAAGTCATCGACTGATCTTGGGGAATATCCCCTTCTATCTTGTTCACCTCCCCCTCCCTTATTCATCCTGCTTTATACCAGGTTCCGAGTTGTTGAAAAATGAACCCCAAACATGTTCTTTTGTCCTGAATAAAAATACAGAATCCATCAGTTTATAAACCATTGAGGGAAACAAGTTTCTGACTCTGTGCAAACCCTTTTCTCCCCACCCTCTCTCCCACTCTAAGACCCTCAGTCAGAGGTCTCATGTTTGAACCCCACTCTGGGTTGTAATCATGCAGATACTGGAAATGTAGAATGAGAGCAAATGTGAGCAGTAGGTCAGGCAGCATGTGTAATGAGAAAGAGACAAAGACAGACAAAGTTAATGTTGCAGGTTGAGGGATCATTCTTGAAAAAAACTGTGTGTTTTGTGTGTGTGTATGCTTGTATGGGGGTGTGTGTGTGTGTGTGTGTGTGTGTGTGTGTGTGTGTGTGTGTGTGTGTGTGTCTGTGTGTGTGTGTCTATCTATGTCAGCTTTTTTGTCTGTGTTTGAGTCTGTCCTCGTGTGTCTGCCTGTCTGTGTCTGTCTCTATGTGTGTCTGTGTATGCCTGTGTCTGTCTGAATCTGTGTCCACCTGTTTTTGTGTGTGTGTGTGTATTTTTAACGTCCAACAAACTGAAAGCTTTGCATAAAGCAGAGGACAGAGGTGATTAAATATCAAAAGGCTTTGTGATGCAATAGCCCCTTTACTGGATAAAAGTGAATAAAAGTGAATAAAACTGGTTGCGTCCTTATGAGGTGAATTGCTACAAAAAACCTCTGAACCTATATGAAATGTGAAGTGATAAATAATAAGCCATAAGAGTAGAAAACCAGCAGTATTAGAAAATAAAAGAGAAATGAAAAAGATAAAGGCAGTGGATATGATCTAAAGTTGTTAAACTCAGCATGAGTCCAACATGCTGTAAAGTGCAGAGTTGTAAGCTGAGGTGCTGTTCCTCAAATTTGTATTGAGCTTCCCTGGAACACTGCAGCAGGCTGTGGACAGAAAGCTCAGCTTGGGAGCAAGGTAGACAATTAAAAGGGCAAACATTTAGAAACTTGGACTGTGCTTGTTGACTGAATGGCAGGATTGCCAAGGTGGTCACTCAGTCTGTATTGGGGCTCCCCAGTGTGGAGGAGGCTCTGATCAGTGGAAACGAGGGCCAAGTTTTCACTTTGAGGACAACAAACAGGACTTGGCACTGAACACACATTTGAGGAATTAAGGTTGGCTGATAACCTCTCAAAGCTAAATGGTTAATAAGAGGCTGACTAACTTAAGAGCAGCAGCAGGTTGCAATGAAGAGAAAGTAACTGAGAGGGTGCTTCAGCATGAAGGTTTCCCTAACAGCCACCTCCTAAACAATTCAATCACAAAAGACAAGGTAGCCAGACCACCAGAACAGTATTGTTAAGACCATCTCTAACACCTCTCTCCCCTTCCTGGACCTCTCTGTCTCCATATCGGGCAACCACCTCGAAACCGATATTCAATTCAAGCCCACCGACTCCCACAGCTACCTAGAATACTCCTCCTCCCACCTACCTTCCTGCAAAAATGCTATCCCCTATTCCCAATTCCTTCGCCTCCGCCGCATCTGCTCCCAGGATGAGGCATTCCACTCCCGTACATCTCAGTTGTCCTCGTTTTTCAAGGACTGTAACTTCCCCTCCTCGGTGGTCGAGAACGCCCTCAACCGTATCTCCCACATCTCCCGCACCTCATCCCTCACACCCCATCCACGCAATAAAAACCAAAAAAGAATCCCCCTCGTCCTCACGTACCACCCCACCAACCTCCGGATCCAACGCATCATCCTCCGACACTTCCGCCATCTGCAATCCGACCCCACCACCAAAGACATCTTTCCCTCCCCACCTTTATCTGCTTTCCGGAGGGACAACTCTCTCCGTGACTCCCTTGTCCGCTCCACACTCCCCTCCAGCTCCACCACACCCGGCACTTTTCCCTGCAACCGCAGGAAGTGCTACACCTGCCCCCATACCTCCTCCCTCACCCCCATCCCAGGCCCCAAGAAGACTTTCCACATCAAGCAGATGTTCACCTGCACATCTGCCAATGTGGTATACTGCATCCGCTGTACCCGGTGTGGCTTCCTCTACATCGGGGAAACCAAGCGGAGACTCGGGGACCGCTTTGCAGAACACTTACGCTCGGTTCGCAACAAACAACTGCACCTCCCAGTCGCGAACCATTTCAACTCCCCCTCCCATTCCTCAGACGACATGTCCATCCTGGGCCTCCTGCAGTGCCACAACGATGCCACCCGAAGGTTGCAGGAACAGCAACTCATATTCCGCTTGGGAACCCTGCAGCCCAATGGTATCAATGTGGATTTCACAAGTTTCAAAATCTCCCCTCCCCCTACCGCATCCCAAAACCAGTCCAGCTCGTCCCTGCCTCCCTAACCTGTTCTTCCTCCCACCTATCCCCTCCTCCCACCTCAAGCCGCACCTCCATCTCCTACCGACCAACCTCATCCCGCCCCCTTGACCTGTCCGTCCTCCCTGGACTGACCTATCCCCTTCCTAACTCCCTACCTACACTCACCTTTCCTGGCCCCATCCCCGCCTCTTCGACCTGTTTGTTTCCTCTCCACCTATCCTCTCCTCTATCCCTCTTCTATCCGCCTCCCACTCTCTCCCTATTTATTTCAAAACCCCCTTCCCCTCCCCCTTTTCTGATGAAGGGTCTAGGCCCGAAACGTCAGCCTCTCTGCTCCTATGATGCTGCTTGGCCTGCTGTGTTCATCCAGCCCTGCACCTTGTTGTCCCAGTATTGTTAAGGGTTGGGGAGACCCCTCTACATAAGGGGTCTCCAGGTTTGCCAGGAGCACTGGCACACTGGTCTGCCTATCTCCTGGTGTCTGTCTCCTGGCTATTTAGCTACTCCTTGTCGTTTGGAAAAACTGGAGACCAAGTGGAACATTCCCTGCAAAGCCTCAAGTGATTGGGTAAATATCAGAAAATTTGATAAAAATGTCAGTCTGGCAGATTCATGTCTGCAGGTGAGGAATGCCATATCCCAATTCTCAATATGCACACCCCCTCCGAGGAACTTGTCAGAAACACAAGCAAATCAATCCGCATGAAAAATAGAACCTGCTTAAAACATTCTGTTACAAACCTCTCCAAGGTTGAGGAAAGACACAGAATATCGTGGGTCAAAGTAACTTAGATAACCATACTGTCCGCTGTGATAAAATTCAACATCCTGTATTCGGGCATGACCTACAAAACAGAGCAAAACATCAACAATTTAGGTCACTTTTGAAGTGTTGGAAAAACGAAAGATTTTTCAAGGTCAGTACCTGTACTCATCAGTAAAAGTAATATTTAATGTGGAAGCTTTCTTGGTTCAAAATTGAAAGAATTAAAATGAATCTCTTTCAACTTTTGTTTAAAACCTCAATGTAGTGTTCAGAAGACTTTTAGATCAATGTGTCAGCATGGTTGTTACCAAGATCACCGTGTTCAATTTGAACACAGAAGTGTTAGGAGTCGTAACACCCATCTGTTTCAGAGCAAATTTTCATTTCTCCCTCATGGACCAAGCATAGCAAGATCATTTATTGATGAGGATCAAATCTTAGCACTTAGGATGATATTGGATATATTACAAATAATCAAGAACTAATGATCTGACAAGAATTCAAATCTCAATATAGTGGCGAGGGCATTCATTTACTTAACCAAAAAAATTACTGTCACCAGCTGAGAGACAAAACTGCAGAATTGTGTAAAAATCCACCTGGTTCACTAACATAAATACGGGAAGAAAATCTGCTGTCCTTACCAAGTCTGCTCTTTCAGTGAGTTCAGGCCTACAACAATTTGGGTTGACTCTTAACTTTGGAATGGCCTTGTAGGTCATACAGTTGTACAAAACTACTACAGAAAATATGATGGCAAATTTCCTCCCTAACTGCACTGTTCACTAGATAGACTGCTACCATTCTAGAAGGCAGCTCGTAACCATTTTTTCCAAAGCAAATGGGGATAGGCAATAAATGATGGCCTTTGCCATAACTGAATAAAGATTTCATGGTTACACACCATCCCCAACTGACCCCAGATGTTACATCTGACTGATCCTCAAAGCTATTATTTTCAGCTAATGACAAAATTATGTAAATACATTTATTACAATTGTGATGTTCTGTTATGAACAGGATATGTATCTCAGAGAAACACAGGAAGCAGGAAGTATAATGGTTCTTAATGTGAGTTATTTTTATTTCAAAGTAAAACAGATTTATAGAGGATTTTTTAAAAATCATTGCTAATCTTGGTCAATACCTTCAGTTAAAACATCTTTACTGACTTTTTTTTGAAGCTTAATAATCTTAAAATATAAAAAGTATGGAAATGCAACAATCACCAACTTCTACATGGTATCAGATAATTATTTTGTTTGTTTATAGATAGTGGCTATAGACTATATTAGTTGGCAATGCACTAAAGTGAGCACTTTGCACATCTTGGCATATACATCAGATAATCATACCCTTAGCTTCCTATTTTAATGGCATTATTTTAACACATAGTAATGTTATTCCTAGCTATTTAAATGCAGGAACATAAAAATTGGATAATCTTCCTCAGCGTTCACTCCCAGCCTGAAACTTCTCATGCCTCCAAATGATTTCTAACTTCCCTGGCACTAAATCTTTTCTCCATAATTATGACTGCAGGACAAGCTTTGCTTTTCTGAATACCTGGCTCTCCACTCTTAACCCAGTTCTGACAAATCCCAGTCCCAGTTGATAAAAGTATACCAGGTAATACTCCCTTACAACAACTCACATTCATCAGGAGCGCTGTCACAAGAGAGCTAAGAGAATACATTTCAATGCTTTTTAGGCAATTACATAAGCTAAATAAGGACAAGATACCTTTGAACTCTACTCCATTATGAAAGAAGGAACTGATCAAGACTCGTGCTCCAAACATTTCATTTGCCTTATCAGGATGATGATGGCCGATGATCTTGATGTTTCTGCTAAGCAGGCCAATGTCTGCTGCCAGAGTGTAACTCTGGCCTCTTTCCTTCAATTCCTGTGTTTCAGCTTGAAGAAAATGAACAATCTCCAATCAGATTGATCCACAGTCATGGACACAACTAATAATTAAAATTTCACTCCAACAAAAAGGTTCACAACAACATAAATGTGCTATCTTCAATTGTCTTATTAGAATAACAATTTTACTTGCAAGAAGTATTGAAACACAGCCATTATGTAGTTCCATCATAACTAGCATTAATTTATGTTTACAAATATGATTTTAAAATAGCAGTTTTGAAAATGCATTACTCTTTTGCTTCTCGATTTTAGTTTCATTTACGTGAAGAATCTTCGGATCCTTTTTATTTAATTACAAGATGCTATAAAGCAAAATGGCTAAGAGGGCCAATCCATAGCTTACAAAGGAAATAAGAGATAGTATCCGATCCAAGGAAGAAATTACGGATTGGCCAAGAAAAATAATGAATCTGAGGATTGGACGCAGTTTAGAATTCAGTAAAGAAGGACCAATGGTTTGATTAAGAAGGGGAAAATACAGTACAAAAGAAAGCTTGCAAGGAACATAAAGACTGACACTAACAGTTTCTAAAGGTACGTGAAGAGAAAGAGATTGGTGAAGACAAATGTCGGTCTCCTACAGATAGGAACAGGGGAACGTATAACAGGGGACAAAGAAATGGCTGAGGAACTGAATATGTACTTTGGTTCTGTCTTCACAAAAAAGGACGCAAATTAGATACCAGAATTATTGGAGGATGCAAGATTTCAGGGAAGAATTCAGGGAGATCAATATTAGTAGTGAAATGGTCCTGGAAAAATTGATGGGATAGAAGGCCAATAAATCCCCATGGCCTGATAATCTACATCCCAGAGTACTTAAGGAAGTAGCTTTAGAAATAGTCGATGTATTGGTGGTCATCTTCCAGGATTCTAAAGGCTCTGGAACAGTCCCTGCTGATTGGATGGTGGCTAATGTCACTCCAATATTCAAAAAGGGAGGTAGAGAGAAAACAGGGAATTATAGTCTGGTGAGCCTAACATCGGTAGTGGGAAAAATTCTTGAATCCATTGTCAAAGGCTTTATAGCAGAGCATCTAGAAAGAAGTGGCAACATCAGGCAGAGTCAGCATGGATTTATGAAGAGGAAATCATGCTTGACAAATCTGTTGGAATTCTATGAAGATGCAACCAGTAGAGTTGACAAGGGGAACCAGTCGAAGTGGTATATTTGGACTTTCAGAAAGTGTTTGACAAAGTCCGATTTAAGAGATTATTGTGCAAAATTAAAGAGCATGGGATTGGGGGGAAGTATATTGAGATAGATAGAAAACCGGTTGGCAGAGAGGAAACAAAGATTAGGAATTAATGGGTCCTTTTCAAATTGGCAGGCTGTAACTAGTGGGGTGCCACAGGGGTTGTTGCTGGGACCCCAGGTAGTCACAATATATATTAATGATTTGGATGAGGGAACAAAATGTAACATCTCCAAGTTTGCAGATGATACCAAGTTGAGTGTGGGGTGAACTGTGATGAGGATGCAGAAATCCTTCAGCATGATCTTGACAGGTTGGTTGAGTGGGTAAACAATGGCAGATGTAGTAAAATTTGGATAAGTGTGAGGTTATTCACTTCAGAAGCAAAAACAAGAAGGCAGGTTCCTGTCCGAATGGCTGTAAATTGGGAGAGGGGAGTGTGTAGCGGGACTTGGGTGTCCTTGTGCACCTCTCGCTGAAGGTAAGCATGCAGGTGCAGCAGGTGGTAAAGTAGGCAAATGGTATGTTGGCCTTCATTGTAAGAGGTTTTGAGTACAGGGGCAGGGATGTGTTGTTGCAGTAGTACAGGACCTTGGTGAGACCACACCTGGAAAATTGTGTGCAATTTTGGTCTCCTTTTCTGAGGAAGGATGCTCTTGCTTTGGAGGGAGTGCAGCGAAGGTTTACCAGGCTGATTCCGGGGATGGCAGGTCTGACGTATGAGGAGAGATTGATTAGGTTTGGATTGTTTTTGCTGGAGTTCAGATGAATGAAGGGGGTTCTTATAGAGACCAGGACTGGACAGGGTAGACACAGGGAGGATGTTCCTGATGGTGGGTGTGCTTAGAACCAGGGGTCACAGTTTGAGGATTCGGTGTAGACTATTTAGAATGAAGATGTAGAAATATTTCTTCAGCCAAAGAGTGGTGAGCCTGTGGAATTTATTATCACAGGAAGTAGTTGATGCCAAAACATTGAATGTATTCAAAAAGTGACTAGACATAGCACTTGGGGTGAATGGGATCAAAGGTTATGGGAGAAAGCAGGATTAGGCTATTGAGTTGGATGATCGGGTGTGATTGTGAAGAATGGTGGAGCAGGTTCAAAAGGGCCAAATGGCCTCCTCCTGCTCCTATCTTTTATGTTTCTATGTTTCACACTTCGTTTCTCAGATTATGAGGTGAGGTAAGATTCTCTGGGTGTTTGTTTTAGTTATTTGAGAGGGGGTGACCTCTGCTTTATAACAGTAGTATAAAAAAGCTTAAGAGGCACTGAAGAAAGATTTACAATAAGACACTGGAATAACAGGAGAAGCTGAACTGGCTGAAATCCCTCTCTTGGAAAAGCCTGAAGGTGACCTAATCAAGGCCTTTAAAATAACAAAAGGTTTTGAGAGAATGGATACAGAGAGAATGTTTCCAATATATATTTGTTACAATGAGAAATGTCTTGCTTTCAGAGAGTGATGGTAATGTGGAACTTGTTCGGACAGGAAGTGGTTGATGTAAATAGCAGACGTGCATTTCAGGGGAAACTAGACAGATAGATGAGGGAGAAGGGAGTACAGGATTATATGAGATGAAGCAGGAAGAGAGAGGATTGAATGAAGCAGTAATGCCAGCCTGGTCTGGTTAGGTTGAATGGCCTGATTCTGTGTTGTAAATTCTCTGTAGTTCTCTCTCGATGATAATTTCCAGCAGAGGGTGTCCAGGTCTTATTTCTGATAGTACCAAGAGACCTGTTAGAATATCCAGTCAGCTGAGACTTACCGATGTGTGTGTGTGACAGTGCTTTGTTCAAACCCAATGTCTTTCTATCAAAGGAGATAGAGTGGATCATTCTGATTTCTGTCTGCATATGATTATAGCTCGTTGTTGACACAAGGATCTCATCTCCTTCCTGAACAAAATGAATATCAATCAGTGGCTTTCATCTACAAAGATCTGAACCATGAGATAAACTAGATACCATTTATAAGTTTCCCGTTGACCTGGGTTAAGTGGATTGTTACAGTCCCCCAACACTGACCAACCAGCAGCCCAGTTTATTGGATTAGATCCAGACGGAACGTGTTTCATTTAAAGATTAGCCCCTGTTGAAATGCTGCAGCGGAGTTCAGGTGAGGTAGGTCAGAGCAAAGGATGGAAAGTGCAAAGGGACACACACTGGTAGTAGGTGGCCAACCCTGGGGTTGCTAGAGGAAGGTGGGAGGGTGCAGTGCCTTCATTCTCCAACCCAAGAAGAGTCTGGTTGCTCAAGTGAGCTGGATACAAAAAGAGGGGGAGAGAAGGTGCTTCAATCCCGGCTTATGGAAGTCCATGAACAAACATTAATTTTTTTGTGGGGGATGGTATAGGAACATATGCTATTCTCAGTGCTCAAAAGTAAGTTCTCTTTAGACAGGATACACCCTGAGATTAGGGTCCCATTTATTGGCCTCAATGTAGAATCTCCCAATTCAGTGAAGTTCCACTAAACTGGGCTCCCTCTCCCCCAGTACTGATCCCAATCCTTGTACAAATGTGAGGAAGTTATGCTGCCGGAAGAATCCATCCCAGAATGATTGGTATTAGGCAACATACTGTAAGACCCCCAGCCCCAATACCTGCCAATCAACAGCTTCAGCCAGCGTTATGTTGAGGGAGTCAGCATGTGCTGTTGAACCCAGTTTGGTTTTATAGACCAAATGGGGAATACCATGAAGATCCAGTCCTCCAAACACACCTACAAGGACAAAGAAAAAAAGCAAAATCATTGGAGCCCTGACTGCTAGGAAAGAATGCTGGGCGACATTTTCAGAACAAAAAATAAATCAACTGGCAAACTGAAAATACAGGAACTGAAACCTACATTGGAATATATTGAAAATAGTTACATAAAAAGTGCAGTGGGACTGTGAGTGATAATCATGAAGCACCTTGTCACACAGAAGGGGCTTTGGAAATCTTGAATGAGAAATCCCAATGAGGCTGCTTCTTGAGGAAGAGGGTGGGGTGGGGTTGTTCAAACTGAGAATCTGAAACTAAGATCAACAGGTTTTAGTTAGATAGGGGGAAGAAGGAATATGGAGCACAGGCACATAAAAGAAGGTCAGGTACAGAACCGCCATGATGTAGTTATCGGAGAAGCCCTACAGTGCAGGGACAGGCCATTCAGCCCTTCGAGTCTGCACCAAAAGTTCCAAAGATCATCCCACCCAGACCCATATCCCTGTAACTCTGCATTGCCCATGACTAATCCACCTAGCCAGCACATCCCTGAATGCTACAGGGCAAATCCACCCAACCTGCACATCTTTGGACTGTGGGAGGAAACCCACTCAGATATGGACAGTATTTTCAAACTCCACACAGACAGTCACCCGAGGCTGGAATCAAACCCAGGTCCCTGGCACTGTGAGGCAGCAATGCTAACCACTGTGCTATGCCAATATACAGTATGCAGACAGCAGAGGTTCAAGAAGGCTGTTCACCACTACATTTTCAAGGGCAATTAGGGACAGGCAATTAATGCTGGCCAGTCAGTGATGCCCATGTCCCATGAATTAATTAACAAAAAACATTATTAACTGGGATTGACAAAGTGTGAAAGGCAGAATTCTTATAATACATCCACGAGACCATTTTTTTAAGCCAACGCCAGTAAAGACCTATAAGACAGGGGTCAGTGCCGGATGTAATTTTAGGGAATTAAGCTGAGCAGGTGGGAGAAGTATCACTGGAGGAGCATTTCGGTGATAGTGATCATAACACAGTAAGAGTTAAGGTAGTCACAAAGATGGACTGGAAGTAGAGGTTCTGAATTGGGACCAGGCCATTTTCAATATAAAACAGGATCTGGCCACACAGTGGACCAGAGAAATTATTTGTGGAAAAATCTACATCAGAGCAGTGGGAGGCAAGACAAGAGCTTGCAAGGGCTCCAACATTAATTTTCAAATCCTCTTTGTACACAGGAGATACACAAGAGGACTGATGGGCAGCTAATGAGGTCCTGTTTTTCCAGTTAGGGGGAGATTATCTCTGATAGGTTTGATTGAGCTTTTTGAGGAGATGAGCAGATGTGTGAAGTGGATGTAGTCTACTTGGACTACAGTAAGGTTTTTGACATAGTACTGCATAGGGTAGACCATCAGGAACATAAGAACACATGGAATCCAGGCCAATTTGACAAACCGATCCAAAATTGGCTTAAGGGCAGGAGGCAAAGAGTAATGATCAAAGGTTGTATTTGTAATCGGAAGCTTGTGCCCAATGGCATGCTCCAGGGTTCAGTGCTGAGTCCTTTGCTAATTTAGAATACATTAATGATTTACATATGAATGTAAGAGTTTGATCAGTGATTTTTCAAATGACATTAAAATTGTTGGTGTGGTTATAACGAGGAGGAAACCAGGCTGCTTCTGATTGGCAGAACAATAGAAAATGGAATTTACTCTGGAAGAGAAAATGTGATACATTTTGGGAGGACCAGCAAGGCAAGTAGTGCAGTGATGAATGATAGGACCCTAGGAAGCATAAAGGATCAGAGGGTGTGTGTGTGTCTGCAGATCCTTAAAGGCAGCAGGTCAGGTAGATAAAAAAAAGAAGGCAAGTGGGTACTTGCCTTTTTTATTCGAGGCACTGAATGCAAGAGTAGAAAGGCTATAATGAAACTGTATATAACATTAACTAGGCAACGGCTGGAGTAATGTGTACAGTTCTGGTCCTCACACAATGGAAATATGTGATTGCACTACAGGGGGTGCTGAGGAGATTCAGCAGGGTGTTGCTTGGGCTGGAGAGATTCAGCTGTGAAGATAGAGTGGGGTTGTTTCCCTTCAAGCAGTGAATGGTAATGAGGAGGACTTGATTGTGGTATACAAAATTATGAGGGCATAGACAGGGTAGACAGGAATACATTATCCACTTCGATCTGGGGACGCAGATTCAAATTAAGGGGCAGGTGGTTTAGAGGATATTTAAGGAAAATATTTTTCACCCAGAGAGTGGTGGGCATCTGGAACTCACTGCCTGAAAGGGTGGTAGAGGCAAGAACAAACACATCATCTAAGACCTATTTAGATGAACACTTGAAATGCCAAAGCATACATAGCAATGGGCCAAGTGCTAAAAGATGGGACTACAGTTGATGGGTGCTTGCAGACATGATAGACCAGCCTTTTCAATCTGTTATACTCTATGACGTTCCATGAAACATTGCCATTTCATCATCAATCCTTCAAAACAAAGTGATCAGAATCATAAGATCAAGGTCCAAGTGGGAAACAGTTCTGTGAGAAGCTATTGCCTCATTCACTGAAGCAGAGAATCGGCACAATCGGTTCTCACAGAATCAACTGGGAAAGATCATTTCCTCCGTTTTCCTGATTCATAATCTGAACACATCTGCATGATCCTTTTCAGAACTCAACGCTAGTGAAGTTGTAGTGGTGACTTACCCAACACCTTTGACCCCTGATTGGGCCCATTTTTAAAAGACCAGTCTGGGGTTGAATGGTCTCCCTTCAAAACAATCTGCAGCTCTCCTTGAAATGGTTTCTCTGGACTGCCAGCAATCAGCCTCCCCCCCTGCAAAACAAAAAGCATTAACAGTAATGCAGCTAAAAATCCTGAGACTGTCTGAACCAGCCCTGACCCAGACATTAGCAGAGAAGGCAGGAGTGCTCACACACTTCAGTTTAACTAGGCTTCCCTGCTCAATCCCTGCACACTTTAACATGTCATCCAGTCTCATTTCACTCTGTCCCTTACAATTTATACCCTTTAACATCTCAGAGAAACTCAGCAGGTCTGGGACCATCTGTGGAGAGAAAACAGAGTTAAAATTTCAAGTTCAGTGACTCTTCTTCATAACAGCTTGGAAAACTGGTATTTATGTTGAGGACAGGGAGTGGGGGTGGGGGGGGGGAGGTGCAGTGGGGTGCAGAGTGAGCAGACAGATGGAGATGGAGACCAGAGACATTGAGAAATGTAGTGAGAAATAGAGAGAGAAAAAAAGTAGACAAATAGAGGTTGATGGCAAGTCAGGGAGAAGAAAAGCTAGATAGGTGATTACAGAGACTATGAATGGGTAAAAATGGGTTGGATGTACTGAAAGCAGCCTATGTCATGACAGGGCCTCGGGTGAGGGAGTGGGTCAAAGGCAGATTCTAAAATTATTGAACTCAATACGGAGTCCTGAAGACTGCAAGGTCCCCAAGATGTTGGTTCTGCAAGTTTGCACTGAACTTCACTGAAGCACTACAGGAGACCCGCATCAGAAATGCTGGCATGGGAATACAGTGGGGTATTGAAGTGGTCGGCAAAATCATATCCCCTTGTTATTGACTCATTGATTAAAGGGAATAGCTGTTTTTCACTCATTATTTTCTTGCTCCTCATACTTTTGTACATCTCTATCAGGCTCCCCTCAACCTTCTCTGCTCCAAAGAAAATAGCCCCATCCTATCCAGCCACTCTTCATAACTGAAGTGTTCCATCCCAGGTAACATTTTGTGAATCTCCTCTGTAGCCCCTCTCAGTGTAATCTCATCCTTCCTATAGTGCAGTGACCAGAAATACAAATAGTACTCCAATTGTGGCCTATTCAAAGTCCTATTCAGCTCCAACATAACATCCCTGCTCTTATTATCTATGACTCCACTGATAAAGGCAAGTGTCCTGCATGCCTTCATATCTACCTATTAACTTGTCCTGCCACCTCCAGGGATTTGTGGATTAACACCCCAATTTTCCTCTGTTCCTCTGAGCTTTCTGTGTCCTGCTATTCTTGATTTGTCCAGTGAAGACATGCTGTTATCTGTCGGCTGATGATTGATCTTCGATTCAATGTTTGATGAGGTAAACTCTTGGGACATCTTTTCTTGTATGAATTCTTTCTCTTAAAATGTCTTGGTTTTTCTGTCCTTCTCCCCACATGGACAGAAAGAGAGTGAGAGAAAAGGAATGATTTCAGTCTGTGCGGTGTGGATATTCCTCTCAATCTGCTGCTCTTGGTATTTACACTTTTAACATTCTGTAGCTCAATCGACTTGAGGGCTATTGTCAGGCAAAATTTTGTTAATTGAAAGAAATCGCAGGATCATTGAATTTCCAATTCTTCCTCTTTCTGCTTCCAAAAGGAGTAACATTATATTGCACAAATCACAAGTAAATGCAGTACTTCATTTTTCAAGTTGCAAATTCTCCTGGTATTTTAGCCTCCTCCAGTCATCCCCAACATTACAGATACCAATATTTAGCCAATTTGATTCACTCCACATGATATCAAGAAACAGTTGGAGACACTGGATACTGCAATGTCTATGCTCCCTGACAACATTCCGGCAATAGCACTGAAAACTTGTGCTCCAGAACTTGCCACTCCCCTAGCCAAGCTGCTCCAGTACAGTTACAACACTGGTATCTAGCCGTCAATATGGAAAAAGGTCTGTACATAAAAAGCAGGACAAATCCAACCTGGCCAATTACTGCCCCATCGCTCTCCTCTCGATATCAGTAAACTGATGGAAAGTGTCACTAACAGCGCTATCAAGCAGCACCTACTCAGCAATAACCTGCTCAGTGACACCCAGTTTGGGTTCCACCAGGGCCACTCAGATCCTGATCTCATTACAGTCTTGGTTCAAACATGGACAAAAGAGCTGAATTCCAGAGGGGAGGTGAGAGTGACAGCCCTTGGTATCAAGGCTGCATTCGACCGAGTGTGGTATCAAGGAGCCCTAGCAAAACTGGAATCAATGGGTATCAGGGGGAAAGTGCTCCAGTGGTTGGAGTCATACCTGACATACAGGAAGATGGCCGTGGTTGTTGCGGGTCAATCATCTCAGCTCCAGGACATCTCTGTAGGAGTTCCTCAGGGTAGTGTCCTAGGCTCAACCATCTTCAGCTGCTTCATCAATGACATTCCCTCCATCATAAGGTCAGAAGTGGGGATGTTCGCCAATGCTTGCACAATGTTCAGCACCATTCGTGACTCCTCAGATACTGAAGCAGTCCATGTTCACATGCAACAAGATCTGGACAATATCCAGGCTTGGGCTGACAAGTGACAAGTAACAGTTGCGCCACACAAATGCCAGGCTATGACCATCACCAATAAGAGACAATCTAACCATTGCCCTTGACATTCAATGGTGTTACCATCACTGAATCCCCCACTATCAACATCCTGGGGGTTACCATTGACCAGAAACTCAACTGGACTCACCACATTAACACAGTGGCTACAACAGCCGATCAGAGGCTAGAACACTGTGGTTAGTAACTCACTTTCTGACTCCAAAAGCCTGTCTACCATCTACAAGGCACAAGTCAGGAGCATGGTGTAATACTGCCCACTTGCCTGGATGGGTTCAGTTCTAACAACACTCAAGAAGCTTGACACCATCCAAGACAAAGCATTACATCCACAAGCATCCACTCCCTCCACCATCTCAGTAGCAGCAGTGTGTACCATCTACAAGATGCACTGCAGAAATTCACCCAAGATGCTCAGACAGAACCTTCCAAACCCACAACCACTTCCATAGAGAAGGACAAGGGCAGCAGATACACCTTCACTACCACCTCCAAATCCCCCTCCAAGCTACTCACCATCCTGACTTGGAAATATATCGCCGTTTCTTCAATGTCACTGCATTAACATCCTGGAATTCCCTCCCTAATGGCATTGTGGGTCAATCCACAGCAGGAGAACTGCAGCGGTTCAAGAAGGCAGCTCACCACCACCTTTTCAAGGGGAGCTGGGACAGGAAATAAATGCTGCCCTCATACCACAAAATGAATAATAATAAAAAAAACCATCCACCTTCCATTTCAGTTTGTAGTTCTGAACAAAGTAAATATGGGGTCCCATATACTGCAGATATGAATCCAGTGGCTGCCTGTAGAGAGCCAGATTACAGAATGTCACATCCATGATGGCGAAGAGGGTCAGAAGTCTGGGTAAGACACATATTTATATTTCCCCTGAGATAACAAGGTGTAGAGCTGGATGAACACAGCAGGCCAAGCAGCAGAGGAGCAGGAAAGCTGATGTTTTGGGCCTAGATCCCTCTTCAGAAATGTTTCCTCTTTCAAGAACACAGGGACAGGGGTTAAAAATGGGCTTCGACCCTAGTCTGTGTGTGTTAATGTCCTGACTTCCTAGTGTGTGGACTAGTGTGCTGTGAAAGTTACAGCTTTGAAAACTGGTCATTAACACCCTTCCAAAGATAAAGAAAGGGAAAAGAGATTCTCACTGAGTGCTAGAAGGCAGTTCACCAGCAAACCAGTCTAAATAAAACAAGATTACAAGGACTCTGAGCGCTGCAGATAGCTACTGCTGAAAGAAACCAAGACCAAAGAGTTTTAATCAACTTACAAAACTGTCTCAAAACTGACTCCTCAACTATCACCATTAATCTCATACCCACTGCAATGGCCACAACATCTCCCACCTACACCTACAAGTGACTCAGAGATTGACTCACTATATTTTTAAACTTTTTGGACTCACTTCTTAGCTCTTATCTGTGCGTATAAGTGTTGCATTATTATTTCTTCTCGTGCTCACTAACTAATAAACTCACTCATTGTCTACTCAAGCAAGCCTGGCTCATTTCAAAACATAAACTCATTTGGTCTGGAAGAAATGTATCCACAAGGGAGGGGCATCCCTTTTAAACTAATGTGGTTGTGACGAACTGAGGGGTTGGATGAAGAAAGAAAGGGAGATAGGTCGCCCTTCCTTACCTGAACACATGATAGTTTGGAGCATCCATCTGGAATTATAAGTTGTTTCAGAATTCTTACCTGGACCTGGACATAACCAACTGGGACCTCAAGAACATAGAACATAGAACAGTACAGCACAGAACAGGCCCTTCAGCCCACGATGTTGTGCCGACCTATTATCCTAATTTAAGATCAAACAATCTTGCACACCCTACATTTTACTATTCTCCATGTGCCTATCCAAGAGTCGCTTAAAAGTCTCTAAAGTATCTGACTCCACTACCACTGCTGGCAGCTCATTCCACACGCCAACCACTCTCTGTGTAAAGAGCCTACCTCTGACATCTCCCCTATAACTTCCTCCAATCACCTTAAAATTAT